TTGATTGGTACATGGCCTTAGACCGTCTAAATACATGTATAAGTGATTTTGAGAGATTAAAATGCTTTAGTTTTCAACTTTCTTAAAATTTGTTGGTTTGTTTTTTTTTTTTTTCTTATTTTTTAACATTTCACCGAACGAGTTGCACACAGGATGATCTGATAGCAGCAGTTGCCAGTGTTTTGCAAGTCACCTTCTCCTGTCACATGGCAGGTGTACATTCCAACCGTGTTGGGGGAAAGCTTCCCAGGAGACAGGGCAGCAGAGGATGGCTATTGCTGCCAAATGTGGCTGGCTGCCTGGGAAAGACACTGAGAATAGGTGGCCAGGTGGCTCTGATGGCGGAGGTGTGTACCCAGCTAGAAAACTTATAGACCTCTCAGTGATTCTGAATTTTTAAAGAATATATGGGTTTGGTGGCACTTCTCTTTAAGAAGTAAGGCGGTAGAAAGAAATTTCGTTAAGTATATGATGTCCTTGGTCTTTCATTATATTTCTTCTCAACCGGGTAATGAATGGAAAAAGTTTGTTTCAGAAATTATTCTGTCCAAAGCACATCCTGAGCATTTAATAAGGAAGCTAAACACATGAAGTACTCCCTAGATTTGCTTAAGAACTGAATGTGCTGGCATCTGGTAGTTGTACTCTGTCCTCTTGGCAGCATGTGATTGACTTCAGTTTTCTCATGGAGCACTGTCTTTTGGCTTAAACTTTATATTCATTTTACATTGTATTTATGCTTTCAATGAGAAAAAAATGAAACTAGTGACAAACTAATACTTTTATGTGAATAAAAAGAGACTAGCTCTTTAAAGACTAAAAAAAAAAAAAATCTTTTTCGTATTAGTTGGTCTCAAGGTTGTTTCAGAATCTTTGACCATGAGACATGAAGTAAAGTAAGTCTTGGCACAACTTGTAGTTTTGGGTAGGTTTTTTTGTTTGTTTTGTTTTTTTGTTTGTTTTGTTGTTGTTGTTGGTTTTTTTTTTAGAAAAAGGTATACTAAAAATACATAACTTGAAAACGTTCATGACGAAAAGATGGAGCCGTATATTGTCCCTGTAGCAGTTAACACTTATTCCAGGGCACAAAGACCTCTTAGTTTTGGACTTTTGGACTTGAAGGGTAGTGGGAAACTTTCCAGTGTGCATCAAAAGGGACTGAGAGATAGTAACGTTCCGTGGACAGTGTCTGCAGCGCTGGGGCTGGGCGAGTTGGTTGCTCTCTGGGTTTGGTTTGATTAGGAGGGAAAAGGGAAATGTGTTTGGGTGGCAAATACACAGAGCAAGAATCAGTGTCTGAGGGTTGGGTAGCTTGTTTGTGCTTTATGGAAAGCTGGGAAGCCAAATCAAGTATTTAATCTAGCGTTTACCTTTTTTCCTTGTGATCTGTGGGCACGAGATTCCTCCTTTGAGCTGCAGACAAAGATCTGTGGTGACTAACTGCTTCTCTAGCTCTCAGGACCTCTGCTCCTACTAGGCTCTCAGCAACCTCACTTTTCCCTAAGAAAGCAAATCAAATCAGAATATTCTGGGACAGTAAAATTTCAACTTATGGAGCTGAAGATATGGATGGGCCCATCATTCTTAATCTACCTTTCCTTGGCATATGGTTTCCTCAAAGAGAGGCTTCCATGAAGCTGAGTAGAGGATTAATCCAGGAAAACTTTTTCTTTTCCTGTTTTTGTGCTCCCAGGCACAATTTCCCCCAGATGTGGGTTCATTGAACTGGTAAAGCTGGTGGACCAATCGAATTCAATTAAAAACTTTCCAGTGTTGTTGTTTTTTGTTTGCTTTTTATTTTTATGTTTTAAAATCTAAACCTACTCCACTGTACAATCTGGACTTAATGTAAAATATGATGTTGGGATATAAAAATGTAACAAACTGTACAAATAAGTTCTGTGGCTGCATTTAAAACTATTAAATGTCTTTGATCTTTCTTTTTATTTACTAGAGTTTGTTCTTATGACTAAGAACAAGGCAGATATTGTCAGAATTCACTTGGAAGTTTATCTGAAGTTGTCTTGACATGGCAATGTTGTCCTTTACTTATTAGGTAACATATTTTAAACACTGTCATCTTGGATCTGTCTCATTTTTGTTCTACGTAAGACAGCCATTGGTGAAAGTAATAAGTAGTCAGTGTAAAACAGCATCTGTACTTGCTCTGTCATATAAAGTATGCAAATAAACAGGCTGCAAGTGAAGGCTTTAAGAAAGGTTTTGTTATATGTGGCTTGGGTGTTTCTGTAAATGGAAATGTACAGATGTTAATGTATAGTTGTTTGGTGTCTTTTGTATGGGAATCATGTTTTTCCTTCTATAGGAAATGAGATTTTGTATAGGAAGTGTATTTTGGATAGCTACTTGATAATGTGTTGCTAGATAATGACTACCTGCTTATGCCCTCTTGTATATTTTCCTTTTCTCGCTCAAAAACTTACTAAGATATTATGCTTAACTAACTTTTAAAAATAACAGGATCTATAAATTTCATGTGGATTCAATGAAGCCTCACATTCTGCTCCTGCAATTGCATAACAGTCTGCTAGGCTGAACTTTGGATTGTGGGATGAGTCAAGCCTATGCAAAAGATGAATTCATAATGTGGGTTAGCGAGCTAATTTATACAAATTAGGTCTGTTGTAGTTATAATGAAAAAATTTGGTTGTATGCTTCATTATAATCATGATAGTGCTGATATTTCTTCCGTTTCAGTAAGAAGCTGCCTCTTGGCAGTATCCTTGGGCTCTGTGCTTTTTATTGTAATCCTACAATGGTCTGCTAGTAATTCTGACTGATCACTGTATAAGCATTCTCACTTATAAATTATGCCTGCCTTAGAGTGGACCACTCATTTGCTTTGATTGCAGTATTTCACTAAACGATCAGTGGCGTTCTTCCACTGAGGAAATTTGCTACTGTGCCCATCAAACAATGTCGCTTTTACACTGTCATTATATCCCACTTTTCATTTAGAACACAGACCTAGAAAAATGTCTTGGGGGTCTCAGTCATAAAATAAAAAATATCCTTCTTTCAGTTGTTTTTCTTCCTTTTTTTTTTTTTTTTAATTTAAACTTATAACATCTCTGAAAACTATCAGTTACATTTTGGGGGAAACTGTAACAGATTTGAAAAGATCTTCTTGAAGTGGTAAATCACACTTGTATCCAAAATTCTTCTGAAAGTAGGAAGATGTTCATATATCAAGCAGGAAGGCCGGACACCAGAGTTTTAGCAGTAAATTGAAAATCTTTAAATGCTTTTCATTAAATCTCATTCTGTAATTTAACTGAACACAAGACCACCTAAGAGCAGACACTAGGATCCCCTTATCAAGAAAGGAATTAAAAGAAGCTGCCTCTGAGAGACAAGATGTCTCTTCGATGCAATGAGTTGTGGATACAGTCTCAAATCACTTTACGCTCAATCGATTCAAGTTATGCTTACTGAACTTTTACATCTATACTTTTTTTCACAACTCATTGCCTTATGCAAGTTCTACATTTTGCAGCGCTTAAATCTTTTAAATGGGATAATGTACATACAAAAACTTAAATATGTAGCTGGCTGCGCTTATAGGAAGTTATAATTTCTAAACGCCGCCAACTTCTATGTTGTGACTTTTATATCGCAGTAGGAATCATTTCTAGGTCCTAATTTAATAACTGTTTAAGCATTATGTTGTTTGAGCATTAATGAATCACTTGGTGAAACTTGTAACTCATGCGGGAAGTGAAGGCCAGCTCTCCCTCCTCAGTGGGAGGCGTGGCTGAAGCATAGTTTGAGCTGGTGAGTCCCTGCCGTTTTCTGCCTTAAGCCTGTGGAAATGCTGCTAGCAGCCCTATTGCATTTTGGAGTTCCACTAAGGTTCTTTTTTACATTTTACCACAACCCACTCAGCAGCTCCAAAAGTGGGAAACAGTGAAGTTTGTAAAAACATGCTTCTGACTCCTTTTGTTCTGTTTAAACGCTGCTTTAGCCGCTTGGCCCTATATGAAAGCAATTAATGTATCTGTACTTGGCTCTGTCCCGTAGCTCAAAATCCACAGTGTGGATAAAAACATAAGCAGTTTTCACAGTAGAAAGGCATATGCAAAGGGGAAAAAAAAGTCATTACTTTTAACAGTAAGTCAGAGTATCTTTTACTAAGTGAATGCTTTTGCCCATCAGTAATAAAGTGCCCCTCAGAATATAGGGGATCTTTAACAGATTTTTAGTGTTGCTGAGTTACAATACAGTTATAAACTGAAGTTTTGTGTACACGCACACGCGCACACCCCCACTTTCTGGCTTTTACTTTCTGGCTGAAATATTGCAGAGCCATCTCAAAGGCCTGCTTTTGAAACTTCTCCGTGGAAAAGATGCCTGTTGACAAAAACACAACTGCTCTCTGGGTGCATTTATTTGACAGTTGGCAACAAATATTTTAGAGGAAGTCTCTATACTTTTAGAGTATTTTTTTAGCTGGACAAGTAGGTATTGTATGCAGAGAAATTTTTTCTTTGCATCCTGATCATTGCAGTTGCATTATGCTCCAAAGTATTAACAGTATGCTCTGTCAAACAGTTTGTGTTTAAGATTTCTGTAAGGTATATTTCTGTATGCAGAACTAAACTTTTGAATCTCACTGAGCAGTAGACTTACAAACCATGGAATACCAGAGTTATTTTTCTTTTGTCTTCATGGTGGATATTTCTTTCTTCTACTTTCAGTGCACTGGGTCATCCAGTTTACCTTTTCTACACATCTGTCATGGTCCTTCCCTTCATATGTTGAACATTAACGCAAACAAAATAAAAAAAGAATCACGGTTGTTTGCAGCTTTTCGAGCTGCTTTGTAGTTTGCCCTCAGATTCCAGTGATGGAACAGCTTAATTGTTCAATACTTCCAAGCTTGGAACAGCTTAATTGTTCAATACTTACAAGCTTGCTTTGTGTCCTGCATTGGTTTGCCTCTCTTCTCACTTGATAATACTCTCTTGACTTTTCCACAGACTCACATTTCTAGACTTCCTCCTGGAGCCGTGGCAGGACAGTCCGTGGCAATAGAAGGAGGAGTTTGCCGGCTGGAGAGTCCAGAAAGCTGAACAGCTGATTCCTCACTTCATTGCAGAGAATGTGAATGACTTTTTGTATAATAAGTTTTTTGTGTTTTAACAGATGTTGGAAATTCTACTTTTGTTTTATACCCTGTATTGCAACCATGTGCACCATAACTTGAGACAAGTGCTGCTGTAGTTTATGTTCTCACTCTGTGAATGGGGGTGTGTGCATGTTCATTTTTTCCCTAATAAAATAGGAACTCTTCCCAGTTGTGCAAAGATTATGTATGATTAATGATTGCATTTTCATTGTTTTATGTTTGAAAAATAACTGAAAGTTTCTTTAAAAAAAATGTTTAATTTAAAGATATGGTCACAATTGTCATTCATGTTCTAAACTTAAAATTAACAGGCCTTTGAAGTGGATATATAATTATGCAAAAATTATTATGGTTTCTAAGTTTCTCAGTGGTTTAAGTAAATCCAGAGGTGGTTTAAACATGGGTTGATTTTTTCCTCCCCAATAAGGAGGATTTTTTTTTTTTGTCAAAGAATGGTTTCAGTGAAACAAACTAGAGGAAAATTAAGGCTAGAATTGTTTTTAAATAGTCTTATAGGTCATATCTCTGTTCCCAAACTAAGATGTTAATAGCTTCAAGCTGTATGTATTACAAAAAGCTATATGGAGATAATGTATCGTAACGCAGTCTTTATGTATAATGGAATATTACAATGTAAATAAGAAAACAAAGTTTATGGAAAGATTCGATATTATTCTTCGCTTCTGTTTTAAATCTATTTTTAAGAGAGGTACAGAAATGAACATATTACTGGATGCGAAGTGCAATGTGTATTAAATGGATGTTGGGAGGTCTGATACTAGCTTTCTTATTGATAAAGCAGCTTCCTAAAGTCCAGCCACAGCATGGGTATTTATATAACTGTGTGTATTATGTATGTACTGTGCATAAATTTACTGTAATTCTTTTTATACTTTCAACAAAGCTACATTATAAACCAATGTAATCCTTGTCTGCCTTGTGAAGCATTGGCAGCTGAACTGTTGTTTGTCACCAATTCTGATACGTTAGCCAGATTGCCTGAGTCCTAAAAGTAAGTTCTGATATACGATCTCCCATTCAGTACTTTTTTCTCCACAGCACTGGCAGCAATAGAAGACTTTTGTAATTAACTCATTGTCCTGATAAGTATGCCAAAGAGAAACTAAAATAGTTCATTTTTTTCCCTGGTGGATATTTGATAATTCTGTTTTCAGAAATAGTGGGTGAATAGATATTCAGACTGTATTCGCTTACTCAGGCATTGTACTTGCCTGTTTTGTAATGTTGTGCCTGCCTATAACAGACATACTTGACTGATTAAATGGTTACATTGATTGTAGTACCAATCTTTAATTGAAAAAAATCTTAATAAATTTTTTTTAATAGCCTGAGTTCATTTTCACAGTTATGTTACAGCATACATGGAGATCCTGTCATCTATAATCGTGACATCAATGTAGTCCTATGGTTGAAGATACTTCCATACGGTTCTGTAAATAACATGAAACAGGGGCTTTCCAGGTTGCAGAAACAAAAAAGTGGAATGCATCCGTCTTGAAATAGTTTGTGCTGATATATCAGACTGGATCCTCAGTGATAGACTTGTCATCTGATGAAATGAAGAACTATACTACAACACTTCAGAAACGTTGCAAGAAAGAAGCTGCATTGTCACAGCCATTAAATTTGCTCTAACATGCACCACTAAACGATTGTGTGGCTGCTTCACTATGTAGTGAGTGAAAAATTGAAGATCATGTGTATGGGTTTGTACACACCCACATTTGAAAATGGCATTGTTTTGGGAAAAGCCAAAGTAACGGTGTAGGCCTGCTTTCATTCTAAAAGTGCTTTTCCATGCCGACTTCATAGAAACTTTGGCATAAATTCACTCCTTCATAGAATAAGTGTGGCAAAATGGCTTGTAAAATGTAAATGGATAGATTGTTTCTTCCCCTTGCTTGTTAATATCTCTTTATGGAGATTGGAATTCCAGTATATTATTTTTTTCCCCACACTATCTACTTACATGCATATCTATAAAATCATAACTCAAGCAGCAGATAACATGTTTTGCTTTTACTTTGCCTTTGTGTCTATATAATACTCCAATCAAATTCTTTTTTTTTTTTTTTTTTTTTTTTTTTTTGTCAAAGAAGCCAAGCTTCTTCAGGAAGCTACTTATGAATCACTGTTTGAAATTGAGCAGTGTGCCTTTTCATTGTCCAACTTTTCCTCCTTCTGTCTAGGTAGAGGAAAAAGGAAACACATTATTCTATCTCCTTGAGGATCACAAACAAGGTACAGAGCACAAACCAGGTATAGAACTGACTTTCTAGCTAAGGTACTTATGAGAAGAAAACTGTGTTAACATGTACGAATTTCTGTATCAGTAACTGTGAAGACTGGCAGGAGCAGAATTTCCTATCATCCAACTCCCACTTAGGCTCATGAAAGATCTTACACTACTTTAATTGTGGGTCTAATTCTGCTCCTAGTTCTATTTTGAACTGAAAAGGGGCTTATGAAAAATAAATGGTGAGGATGGACCCACTTTGCAATGACGTGGTCTGCAAACTCTTGTACGTGATGAGTAACCATTGCTGCTGGCATAAGCAGATACAGTCCAAGAGGAAATTATATAGTTGACAGCAATAACTGGCTAAAATTATAAAGGGAGGGCAACCAGATGAAATGCATATAAATACAAACAATTTGAATACTGTTAATTTTATACTCAAACACACAATTACGTGTCCTAGAGCATTTTGTAGCAGACAGGTTGGTGCCAGAGTAGTCAGTCTTCTGCCATAATAAATTTCACTGCTAAAAGCTTGTAATAGCCTAAACCAAACCTAACATACAGTCCATTTTTTTTGTCCTCCTTTGCTTCTGTACCGTAACAGTGTGGCCCTGCAGTGAGCGATCTCAGAGGGCTGCAGTGGAGCAAGTCACGGAGGAGAAGCCTGTTGGACTAAAAAAACGTTTAGAGGTGACTTGAATTTCATTTTGTGTATTCTGTAGGTACCAAGAGTATGCTTCTCTGCTTGTGAATTAATCTCCACAAACACTGTGAAATATAAGAGATTTGACTGAGAAGGAACAGGGAGACTGATTTAGGGAACCTGCAGCCATTCATCTATAAAGGACAATACAGAAGATGCTGTGAAAGGCAAAGGAAGCCTAAGAGGAAGCAAAGCTGGTAATAAATCCAGGAGCATTAGCGTGGTAACTGCTATCGTTACCTGAAATGTAAGTTAATAGCAGAGTCTAGAAAAGAAGACAGAACTATTGGTTATTATTAGCTGAAACAGGTGCAACATTTCACAGTGACATATGGTAGTGGTGCAACTGGACAGTCTTCGTAGCTCAGTTTTGAGCAAATTGATGCAGAATTAGATGGGAAATTATAGACTATATAGCTACACACTATAAAAACGGAAACTTGGAATTCCACCATAATTTCTGTTCTTTCTGGTTGTTATGCGAGTCATTTACTTTGAGTCAACAAGATATAGTAAGAGCTCTAATCGTTCAGTGATAGCAGGACTCATTTGTTCAAAGACGTTGAATTGCATGCAAAGTTTTTATAGTGTTATGTTTGCAAATAACTGAACACCATCTGCAGTCTATATGCAGCCGTATTTCAAAAACATCTCCTGAATCTCAAAAGGTTTGCCACTCTAACAGTATTTGGACCAATGTAATTCTGGGTGACTGCGATCCCAGCCTCTAATTCAGTAGGGAGGCACCTTTCAGGCTAAAATATGACTCAGGGAAGAATCTGGTTTTCAGATCAGCTTGACTGGCAGGAGAAGGCTTAGAAGAGAACTGAAGAGTTGAAGGGAAAGTTTATAATGTGGCTAGGTAAGGAAATAAAGGCTCTTAGCAGAGTGTACAAAGAAAATGACAGGGGAGAACAGGAATCAATGTAAAGTGGGTAGAGGGAAAACAAAATTGTTGTTAAGGGAAGAAGAGAAAAATTAAGAGGAAGTAGTAAGAATTTCCAAGAAACTTGGGCAAAAATTGAAATATCCTTCACAGTTCTGATAGGGAAGAAATGAATGAGTATAAACTGTTACTTTACACCTGGCCAAGATTTTAATGTGAAAGACTCAGAATTTCTGTGGCTTTTAGCATAGAGTGTCAACGGAGGTTTTTGTAGATGCCTTGCAGGTGAGTTGAGAAAGTGCCACTGCCTCGTATCAGAGTCCAGATCTGCCAAGAAATGCTAAGGACCTACAATGTGCATTGAGATTTTATATGGAAGCTGACATCACTGATAGTCGGTGGTAAAAGACTCCTGTAGTGGGTCTAAAGATAGCAGTACTGATTAATAAAAGTTACCTCTTTTCTTTTTGCTCATTTTTTACAGGAAAGCTTGTGGGAGGTTGTTCTGCTCTAATAGCCCTGTGCTTGATTCTTTACTCCATTATGTGATTACTCAGAGCTAAGGAGGACTTGTACACTGACTGTTATCGTTTTAGATCCTATACTGACACAGCATTTATCTTCCACATAACCTGGGCAATAAATCTCCATAAAGACTATTAGCATCACTTAATAGTGATTCGAACACAATAAATGTCTTGTTACCTCCTCCTGTCTCCCTAATGAACTAAATAAATTATGTTGGCAAACACATGAGCAACAGATATAGTGAGATCTACTTTCCTATAGCTTTATGGACTTAACCATAATACCTTCACTTACCTCAGAAGTCTCCTGCATGACAGTGTTGCAGTACACTTATTTTCCATCCGGTGTCCTATGCTCCTTTACCAACTCTTGAGTTTGCAGTTCCTTGCAAGGTAATATCCTGCTCTTCTTCCCATGTTCCCTATCCCAGTACAGAAGTGTCAACTACCCCGGCTCCTCTGCCTCCACCCGCTGAAAGACTTTTTTTAGTCAACCCTCGTGTCCCCAGTGTTCACATATATCTGCTACACAAGAGACAGCATACATGAGTGCTGCCTGTGGACGTGTGGACGTTGCTCCTTCCGCTTGGCTGTTGGTCTCCAGAGTTGCCTGTAACCCCCAGGCCAACACTTGGTGCAAGCCTCCTGTAGGCAACGAGCATCTGTCAGGTCTGCAGTCCTCTTCAGATTCGTAGAAATTGGCTAATGGATGCACGAATTGCTGAAGCTGGACAGTGTGAATGTGCAAGCATGGTTTCCTTAGGGTCCGGGCTACAAGAGTTTGAAGCAGCTGCTTTTCCTCATTTCTTAAAGAGCATCTGAGAGACAGGGAGAGTGATATTCACTCAGGGATGATGTCAGGGTGTAAATGGGGTGAAACTGGCAGGCTCCAACCTGGTCATAGTGCAATCATCCCAGAGAGAAAAGAGCTGTGAAGTTATGGTGTCCAGTGTTCACCCTGGGGTTTGTACAAGCCTGCTAAAGCCTATGGGTGTCACGTCCTCGCAGGGTTAACCCCCACTAGACTCTGTGCACCTTCAAGCACGCAAGGCTGTTCCTGTGCACAGTGTGCAGGTGGATGTTGGTCAGACATCCAGGTGGGCTCTCAGAGGTGGAGTGCCCATAGCTTATCTCATCATCCCTCTTGGAGCCCAGCAGCTACGATATATTGTAATAGATATCTAGGCTGAAGGTGCCCAATTTATACTTGCTTGTATTGCTGTAAATATCCACGTAGATGTACAGAAAGAGACAAACTAAACTCATCTATCTAAAACAAAAATACTCTCAAAGCTGCTAGAATGCAGTTTTCAGAAAGCACTGAATGAAGGCAAGTGTTTGAGGTGAGATGCTGTCCCCAGGGAGGTCACTCGGAGCTTGGCTGCCAGCCTCGGTGGAGCCGTGGCATCACCCTTGGAGGTATGTCTCTTGGAGGACTCAAACATTGTGAGTCCCTTAATGCCAACACTGGAGACTTTGGAAATGAGGCAGTGCGAGATGTTTTGATGACTCATCCTTATTTTTTGGATTATCTGGGAATA